ATTTATGCTGCGGCGCCCAGGGAGCAGTTGGGGGTTCGGTGCCTTGCTCAAGGGCACCTCAGTCATGGTATTGAAGGTGGAAGAGAGCGCTGTACATTCACTCCCCCCACCTACAATCCCTGCCGGTACGAGACTCGAACCTACAACCTTTTGGGTTATGAGACCAACTCTCTAACCATTAGGCCACGACTTCCCACAATAGGTTGGTATATCAACATTACATCAGTTAATGAAATGACGGTGTGTAAAACCTAAAACGTTGCTACTGTATTTTTTACGGTAAAATTCTGGCAACCACAGCTGCCGGTTTCTTACCGTAAATTTTACGGAATTTTTTACATTGGAAACCTGTGAAGCTGTAATCATCCAGGTGTTCTGGGATTTTTGGTTTCACTGTGCAAATGGAACCATAAACCTTGTGATAACCTTAATTGGTAAATTTACATTTGTTTGTAAAATGTTAAAACTATTTTACATTGGAAACATGAAAAAAAGAAAGAAATTTCAGCAACATCTTTTTGCAGCACTGTATGATTGTATCATAGTTTACACCCAGACAGCAGACAATTCACAACCAGACAACATGGAGACTGTTGAACGGGGTAAGTTAAGACATGGATCATCACACCAGTATACAAAAAAGAAGAATAATAAAATGTCCACAGATACGTTTATATAGGTTTATTTCATTTGTTGCAGGCAGTGATGTATTCAACAAATGATAACAACTAATAACAGACAGTTTTAGAGCATCGCAAGCTACAAATGAAGAGCCCAAAGAACTGAAATCAATGTATAGGCTACAACTAGCTGAAGTTTGCTGTGCTTTATCCTAACATTACACAAAGAATGCCTGCAATCATTCAGTCAGGGACGACTGCACAAAACGTGCACTGTAAAGTAATAAAAACATCAATCAGAAAATCTCGAAAACCAAAAATCTGGTAACACCGGCAAGTGTTTTGACTGAACAGCAGGAGGAGAAACAGGAAGTACAGAGGAACACAGCTCATAAGCACAAGGTACACAAAAGAGCAGTCTCTCGCTTGAAGGTAAGCTTCTCAAGCCTGTGTTATTTATCAGCTTTCACATTCAGAAGCAGACATCGGTTGTTTGGTATAGCACACTTCGAGAGGAAGCTGAACACTTATGTTTTAGGCTGTTTGTAAGCTGTCAGTTGAAATGTAGCTGTGAAAGTGCTTCCCTGAGGTATGTGAAATGTGTGTTTGTGTTCCTCTGTGCTGAGTCATCTGAATGGAACACCCTTATTTTTAAGCTCTTTAGTGTGCTTTTTCTAATACATTTCATAATCTACTGCTAAATACATTATGTTCTGTTCCCTTTCAAGCCGCAGACTATGGAGGAAAATACAACACAAGATGAAATTAACCAGGAAGAGAAAGACAGATCGGAAAGCAGTGAAGAAGGGCAGACAGATCTTAAGGAAAGAGGTTTGAAGTCGCTTACACTTAAGGAAGTTGACTTTAGTTTCAGAAACTATGTTTGTATCTGATTTACATTAGAAAAAAAATTTAGCCTTGTTTTATGGACATCTACTATGGTAATACCTTGGTTTTGGACATGTACCATGGTAATACCTTGTTTTTGGAAATGTACCATTGTAATATATCCTGAATCTTGATGTCTACTATAGTACCATGGTGTTTTTTCGAGTGCCACACTGTAAGAAAAGTGAAAAGTAATTTAGATTACCAGGCAGGTTGAATAATATTTTTGATTCAGATTGATTACCACATGAAACGCATGTTTTAGGTTGCAAAACAATTTTGTAGTGCATGTAAATACCACAGTATATGAATTACATAGTGGGTTATATGACGTCTTTAAGTAGACACTCTCATAAAAAGGTATAAAATCCTGTGGTACTAATATGTACCTTTAAGATACTAATATGCACACTTTAAGGAAAAAGGTACTGCGCTGGTCACAGCTTTTGTACCTTTTTCCCCTTATATGTACCATAAAAAACATAAGCCATAATTTTTTTTATTTTTCTTTCCCTTTAAATGGCTTGGCATTTTCCCTAATAAACTGCAGAAACTCTTACTGAGACAACCATGTTTTTATTTTTTGGTGTTTTCTCTTGCTAATAGCATCTTACAGTATGTTCCTCTCCCAACACCCAAAGTAAAAAGGAAACAATTTTATAAGCATCGTCATTAAACTGTCGGCCCACCCATTAGCAGGTGGAAGATACTTTTACTCTTACTAAAAATAAAAAGCTGAGCCACATCAGTGGAGTGTAGTAACTGAGCTTTATTCGTGTGTTTAAACGGGTGTAACCATAACACACAGCCTGCTGACTGCAACATTCACAGCTTTTAGCAAATCCAGTCTTAAACGGTTTCATTAAATATTGCAGTTTAAAGGGATAGTTCACCCAAAAATAAAAATTTGATGTTTATCTGCTTACCCCCAGGGCATCCAAGATGTAGAAGACTTTGTTTCTTCAGTAGAACACATTTGATGATTTTTAACTTTAACCGTTGCAGTCTATCAGTCGTATAATGCATGGCAATGGTAACAAAATCTATGAGAGTAAAAAAAAACATGCACAGACAAATCCAAATTAAACCCTGCGGCTCGTGATGACACATTGATGTCCTAAGACACGAAACTATCGGTTTGTGTGAGAAACCGAACAGTATTTATATAATTTTTTTACCTCTAATACACCACTATGTCTGCCTTGAGTGTGCGCACGGCATCCGGTGCGTGAGGTGTTTACGCGCTCTGGCGTAGTTTACGCAAGCGCCGGAAGTGTCTCGCACAAACCGATCGTTTCGTGTCTTAGGACATCAATGTGTCATCACGAGCCGCAGGGTTTAATTTGGATTTGTCTGTGCATGTTTTTTTTACTCTCATAGATTTTGTTACCATTGCCATGCATTATACGACTGATAGACTGCAACGGTTGGAGTTAAAAATCATAATTTGTGTTCTACTGAAGAAACAAAGTCCCCTACATCTTGGATGCCCTGGGGGTAAGCAGATAAACATCAAATTTGCATTTTTGGGTGAACTATCGCTTTAAGTTTCATGTCATGAAAGGTGTTATGTGTCAGTTCAGTCTTTAGGTGGCGCTATTGCATAAAAATTATGTGATGCAGAACTAGTAAAATTGGCATTCCCATTATTATATCCTGATAATCCATGTGTGTAATACATCATAAAGACCCTGCTGTTTTAGGTATTAAGTGCTATTTAAACTTTATGTATCAAGAACTAGCACAATTCACTTTTATCTTTGATATCATAATATAATTGTTACTCCAGACATTTCTTGTTTATGTTCAGCATTCATTTTAACCTGTTGTCCATGTAGCCCATTAAAATTTGATCTAAAAATATATTTAAATTGTTTGTTTTGTTTTTGCGTCACTATGCACATTTTATTCTTTTCATTACTTTTCATTTTGTTCATTCAGGTCTCGTGCTATACAGGACCAGTTTATTTATCCTGGTTTTTAGGAAGTCCAACCCACATGTGGAATTACAAGCTCCAATATTTGTGTGGAAGAAAAAGATGATTTTCATTGAGATAGCGAACTGTTGTGTTTGTGAAACACGAGTTTCCGCTTAAATAGGAAAAATATTAAACACTTCTTGCTTTTTGTTTGCTTTGCTAATAAACCCATATTTGTATCAGTTTGTCACACCATTAACTGACATTGATCAAAATCTATTTCTTCTTTAAATATTAAAAGGCATTAAATTAAACATTGTTCACATGTTTCACATGTTACAATAAATCAGCTGATATTGGATAATATATACAATACATTCTGTATACTAAAGCATACCACTCAAATAGATTTTAAAATAAAATTCAAATTGTTTTAAATCAAATGTGGATTTAAAAAGTGCAAAATTAATTTGCCATGCAGTTATACATTTCATATTTTAATATGCCAGTATTGTAATGACATTTTCAAAAGTTAAATGTATTCATTTAAAGATGAGATTGAATTAATCCTCACAAAACCAAATACACAACTTTGGGTCATTTCATTTTTTTTCCCCATTATTTATTCAAAAGTAAATCTGAAATGTAAAATAAATCAACAGAAATATTTTATAATATTATTTGGGGGAAAAAAGCCAAATAAAAGTGGTTTCTTTGTAAGTGATGTCTGTCTTTAATAACGCTCAGTTTCTCTGTTTCTGTCTGTGGTTCCAGAGTTGAGACTGGTGCTGCTCGGCTCAGAGGGTGCTGGGAAAAGCAGTGCGGTCAATGCCATCCTGGGCGGCTTGACATCTGAGTCTGACTGTACAGGCCCTGAGACACCAGCCACCAACTGCCAGAAGAGACGCGTGGCGCTGGCAGGACGACAGGTGCGTTCATGTCTCACTTAAAGCTCACTTTCAGCTACCTGATCATTCAGTTCTGCACAGTTTTTGTGTAGTTTTTAAAAAAAGAAAGTTGCATCAAGGCATGCATGTAATTTCCTAGTATGTGACTAGGCATATCAAAAGCATTTCATAAAATGACATTTATGTATGCATGTCCTAAACCATAACATATATTGTACAAATTTAACATAATTTTAGCAAACTTTAACTGCCTTTTGTTTGTTTGATTGAAAGGTGCAATTATAAAACTAGTAGTTCATAAAACTGAGATGCCACCTGGGAGATTGAATTAAATTTAATTAAAATTATAGTTTTTTTTTTTGAAGAATGTCAGTCCAATTTATATTTGTCTGCAAAACTAGTTTAAACCTTTGATTAAAAAAGATAACCATTAAAAAAATTTACATAAAGTGTTTACAATTTACAATAAGGTTCCTTTCGCTAACATTTAACATGAAAATGTAATAGTTAATTATTATATTATTATGATTTATAATTCTAATTAGAAATATTATGTAAGTTAACATGAATGAACAAAGAAAAATACATCTAAAGCATGTATTAATCTCAGTTAATGGTAAGTTCAACATTCACTAACACATTATTAAAATCAAAAGTTGTATCTGTTAATATTATTGGATATTCCTCACCTAACATCTAGCGTAGCGTTAGTTCTGGCAGGTCACGTTAGTCAAGCTCACATCAGCAGACTCTCAGCTGATCCCCATCTACCTATAGGAATACGACACCTATCTAAGCATTCATATATAAGGTTCCTCAGCATTATCAGCAGTTTTCGCATTGCTCAATAGCTAATTAACCTCCTCCATCCCCAGCTCCTCCTCTGTCAGTCAGGATTCAGCTTCTGATTCTCCTTTGAATCAGACTAATTCTAAAATGTGTACATAACATTATTGAACTTTAACGATATCCGCAATACATTTATGTTGGTTCTGTTCTGTTTACCCTGGGGGGGTTATCGCTGCTCTCCCTGCTCTCATCCATGCTAGGCTGCATGGATGCGCAGGGAGCTCTTGCCCAGAATGGAACCATACTGCCAATCCAAACTGTATGCTAATTGTCAGTCATCTTTGATGATAGTGGTCCTGACCGAAATGAACAGTTGTATTTTTAATAATATTAACAAAGATTAATAGATACTGTTACAGATGTATTGCTTATTGCTGGTTAATGTTAGTTAATGCATTAACTAATTGTGCCTTATTGCAAAGTCTTAGCAAATATATTATACATATAACAATATGCTTGTGCCATTCAAAGTGGTCTAGTGTTACCTAAGGTTATACTAATAAACTATATTACACCTTGTATTTGGACACCCCTTTCATGGCTTTTTTGTTTGCTTTATTTTTTATTTTTTGCTGTATTCAAATAGATCCATTAGTGCTCTCTTATTTCATAGTGTATTGAAGGGGCCATTTCTAAAAAAATATTTCTTTGTCTTCTCTGCACAGGTGGCTGTCGTGGACACACCTGACTGCCTGTGCATCGAGCGTCCCGCTGAGGACGTTCGCCGTCAGTTTTCGCTCTGCGTGGCTTTATCGGCCCCGGGGCCCCACGCTTTCTTACTCTGTGTCCCTGTTCACCGGCCCAGCAACCTGGAGCTCCAGATTTTGGAGACCATCGAGAAGGTATTTGGCCCTGAATCTGTCAGTAAACACGCAATGGTGCTCTTCACTCGCATGGACCGACTGCCTGAGGATGTTTCTCTGGAAGAGTATCTCAATACACAATGGCCTGACTTGCTAGAGCTTGTGCAAAAGTGCGGGGACCGACATCACCCGCTGCGGCCGGGATCCAACGTGGAGGAGCTGTTCATAAAAGTGGAGGAGATGGTGGAAGAAACTGGGACACAGTTCTACACCTGCCCTCTGTTGCAGGAGGCAGAGAGGAGAGTGAAAGAGAAGGAGGAGGAGATCTGGAGAAGCAGAAGAGAAGAAGGAGAGGATGATTTGGAGGGAATAAGGGCCGAAGCAGAGAAAAGTGTGGACGATTTGGTGGTTGTGGGAATCGCAGAGCTCTGTGTCTCCCCGCCTAACACCTCGTTCTTATGCTGGTTGTGGGACAGTGTGGTTGGGTGGCTCCTGTGGCTCCCGAATATGGTGAGGGGCAGTGCTTTACTGGGGTCGATCGTGGGGTTGTTCGTCGGGGGGCCCTTAGGAGGGGCCATGGGAGCAGCGGTGGGCTCTGTGGCAACGGAGGTGGGTAGACGTAAACAAAAAACCAAGTGAGCACTTGAAAATTTTGTAACAGTTTATTGTAATTTTCATTAGCTCAATATGAAACATCAAAAAGCAGGTCAGTTGTTCATGTACATTCAATTACGAATATATAGTCAGCTACAAAAATCACTACAAACGCTAATGCAATGCTATTCCATTAAATACATGCCCCCCCCCCCATTACAAACTGTATTATTAACTTAATACTTAGATTTGAATTGAACACTTAACATTAATTTCAGAGTCTTAGATTTTGGGGTATCGACCTTTTGATTTAATAACAGAAGCACTTTACACAAGTTTGTGTAAAACTGATGATCAGGTCCATGTTTGCTTGTTTAATTTCTAGTGCGGAATACTAAAATATTTCTTATTAATTTTACCTTATGACTTTTTTATTTTATTTTAAATGAAAACATTCCATTTATAGCTGTTTAAATTAGATGTAGAATTTAGATTTTCAGTTTATTTGTATGATTTTTAATATATATATATATATATATATAAGAACAAACTTTAATGTGTGTAATCAAAGTAATTCCATCTAGTTGAATGTTTATTAACCAATGATCTGTTAAGCATTATATATGCAGTAATGTTTGTTAATGTTACTCATGAAAAATATTATAAAGTGTTACCACACATTTAAGTGCTTAAAGAATCTTTATAGCTTAACACCAAAAGCAAGTATTACAAAGTCAGTTTCTAATGATGAGCAGAAGAGGATTAAGAAGATATTAATTTCTCAGACTTTTTGTGTGTGCACCGTTAGTTTTGCACTAAAGCTTTTTTTGCCTTAAACACTAGATGCTATATGATTGTTTTGATTTTAAAAAGCATCTATTCATAAGCACTGTAGAGCAATTGAGTGAAGATCACTGTCTTAACACTGTCACCAAATAGCTTTATTTCACGCATGCACGAGTAAAAATCACAGTATCACTTCTAAGTCTGAAGCGCTTTCTTTGAAGTAAGCATTGAACTCTAAGCTCACTATAAACTCAGGATTTGTTTACAGTCCATAAACATCTCTTGATCTTGGTGCATAACAGTGATTTTATTACATAACTGTTGCACTAAACAGCTGCTATGGAACAAATGCATGCTACACATTTTCAGACTGATCGCATGAGCATAAATTTAATAACGCTCCTCATGTAAGTGTTTTTCATGTGCAATTTTGCCACTTAATTGGTTTGCAGTTCAAATGTTTCTGCAGCTGTTCTGGAATATGAAAATAAAGCGGCGTAATGAAAACAATCAGTGATGGTGTGATTAATTTCTGTGTTTTATTTATACGCACATATGCAGTCACTGGTTTCAGTCATTGGTTTGGAGTTAAGAAATAATAGAAAAAAAAGATAAAAATATGAAATCCCATGCACATATGGCCATATATATTAAATACCAGTATTTATTTGTGATTAAGTTTGAATTTTCTTACTATTTTCATTATATTTAAAAACATTAATATATATATATATATATTTGTTACCAATATTGTAATATATGTACATATTAAATTCATATTTAAAAATAGTAAATTAATAGTAAATTAAAGTTGCATATGCACATATAAAACATTTGACATCAAATCATATATAATAAACAGTGGCACAAAGCATTTGGACAATTTAAGGTCACACTTCTTCACAAATGTTGCTGAATGCTGTGGTGATTTTTAGTGGATTTAAGTAAGATTTCCTCAAGTTTGCTTGTGTAGTTCATCACATTAATTATTAATACGATCCATTAGTGTTTAATAACCAGAAAGTGTCCAAATAAAGTATATAGTGTGCATTGTTATTTTAGCATTTATAACCATTTATATTAAGTGTGTTATATGGAATGTTTTGCTTGAAAGTGTGCTTGTGCTATCTTTTTTTAAAAAGTACATGTTTTGTTATATAATACAAAGATTTTCATACACACAAGTGCTGCTTAAGTGTCCCGAAACCATTTTGGAGCCACTGTATCATATATCCATGTATTTACTGTAAGCTACATGTATTGTCTGCCACGTATCGCATTTCTGTATGGGGTTTTTATGGGACAGAGAGGATGTGTCTCTGAAAAAAACAAAGATCTATGATAAATCCAATCAACCCATCAGCTAAGTCTTTTAACAGCTTCAGGAGCCACAGCAGACAAGAATATTGTGAAAACGCTTTTATACCATTGCAGAAAGACGTCAAACAGACCAATATAAAGACGTCTCTCTCTGCCTCTTTTGCAAGAGCAGGTTTATGGTTTTGACATTGACATAAGTGATAGTCTGCTAAACCCATCCTTCAAAAAAAAAAACCCATCTCTGGATTTCTGCCTTTAGTACAGCAAGGCGTTTCCTCATGTGGGTGGTCCGCCCAGGGAGAGAGAGAACGAGCGAGAGACACAAGCCTGCTCTCATGTTTCTAAGCACAGAGAGAGAAAGAGAGAGAGAAGTACAGAGAAAGAGCTTGCTGTGGGACGTACATCTGTCTTCCAGATGTGGCTTTATGCAGTTGTTTGAAACAGGAAAAAAGAACATTTAAAAAATAAAGGAAAATTGGTGCTAAACAGATTTTTATTGTCAGGGATTATGGATGTAGTGCTCTATAGATTACAGTATAGCAGGCTGTGTATGACTCAGCCAGTACTGTATATTTTAACCTCAGATCCATCTTTAAAAAAACGATGCAGGAATGATGTAGTGCGGTCCCCTGCGTACTTGGACTTGTGGATAACGTGTTTAAAAAGGAACACCTGTCCAAATATTATTCTGCCCTATTGGACATCCGTCTGGAAGAGGACAGGGAGAGAGGGGGATGAGAAAATGAGGGAGAAATGTGTAAAAGCAAGCAATGGAAAAAATGAAAAGGAGGGGATTAAAATAAGAAAAAAACAGTAAAAATATGAACACCCGAGTTTGTTTCCCCCACATAAAAAACACTGAATGTTCTTTTCACGGCTATATAGTTAGCTCTCAAAGGACCCGATGCCCTTGAGAACCGACACTGTAATGATTTGTGCCGGTATGTGTAACATGGGCCAGAGTCTCGCGGAGACACAAGTGTGGCCCATCTTTAAAACGGTAAGGATGAGTTATGCCGCCGCGGCCCTCAGCTGAGATGTTGTTGTAAGGGCCTTGTGGTCCACTCAGTGAGGAGCAGAAGCAAACTGCAGACGCCTCGGCTTCGCTCTCTTAAGATCGCGGCCTGTGGCCTGAGAAAGAGCAAAATCGAAGCGAAAGAAACCGAGGGACACACATACACTTTCCCCACAGCGTGCACATCATCTTTTAGCCGTGCAAACAATGGGCTGCGGAATCGATTGCAAATGTAAGATCTCTTGCCATTTATTTATTTTTTACTATTAAAGTAATATAATAAGATTACAGTTTTAACTAGGAAATGCCGTTTTGCCACTTTAAATCTAAGCCACTTTAAGCTTTTGTTGAAAGTGTAAAAAAAACTATAGGAAGTAGCGGGTTTTCGTTGGTTGAAAATTGTAACAAATCGTTGAAATAATGGAATATTTATCGTGTATATCGATTTTTGTTTACAAAAGACCTAAATTGAGAGAACGCACAAATGTTTTTCAAGGTCTCACACGGTTACTTCCTGTTTTTAGATAAGCCAGGCAGCTCAGCCATTTCCGGTGATTGACGGTGAAACTGCAGCGATGTAGGAAACGAACTAACTGACAAGCCGATGTAAAAAATAAACCTGTGCATCAAGTGATTCAGACTAAATTCAGAGTAACAAAACTACAGCAGCAAGTAAATTGGCTGAATGTATATCAGCTTCTACAGTTAAAAATAAAACTTAAAAACATTTTGTTTATAAATTAAATCTAAAAATATTTCAAAATATATAATGCATTATTTAATTGTTATACCATTAATAATTAGCTTAATTTGTAGTTAACTAGTTAAATATTTAAAAAAAATAACCCTTATAGGCTGTTGGCGTCTGGGCGAATTTATTTTTTAAATGACATGAGACTTTGTGACTTCCTGCACTTGCTATAATTTATACTTAAGTACAGTAAAAGTACTAAAATTTGTTATAATTTTATAATATATTCAAAAGCAAGACGTGAAAAAAACCGGGGAGTTGAAATGGCAACTGAGCTAATGAGTGATCCTCTGGTGCCATCTACTGGTTATAATGGTAATTTCATGTCATTTTCATCTTAAAAGTCTTTGTTTTCAGCCAGGAGACATTTTTGGCACATTTTTTCATGTCATCTTCATGAATCAACAGGGAATCTTTAAAGTAAATTTTACTGCACAGCTGTTGAGAAATAATAAAGGCTTTACAATATTATGTTTTAAAAATGTGTTCATGACTATGAAAGTAATTTATTGATTATCAAGAATACAATTATGTAGTTTACGAGATAGCATCGCTAGCAAGCTAACGTTAGCCTAAATAGTTAGTGTTTAGTTGACAGCATATAAATGCACAATTATGTGTCTAGGTACTCTCCTGGGATTGCCAGGCTCGGCATATAAAACTGTATGTTGCTAAATAACACGAAACTTTATGTTAATGTCGCCATCATTATTTACGGTGTTGCAATTATTTTTTTTCTCAGTTTCTGACAAGAACAAAGCAGGAAAGATTTCTGTGAAGGTCTCAAGAGTCTCTACCTATATATACCACAACGTCAGATGACCTTCACCGGAAGTTTACGAGCTGAATTATCTTTATGTGGAAGTTCTAAAGGACGCTCCGTGCATAGTCTATTCCCTATCAGTATATGAATGTAAAATGAAACAAGATACTGTCTGATGTTCATTCATGTTCATTTCATGCTATAATTAGTCAAGCGGAAGAGATAATCGGTCAACGATCCGCTTGAACTGAGGCGCTACCCCTACGTGTTGAAGAGTGACAAAACAGTATTTATTGTTTGAATATCTTAAAAAATGACAAAATTTGAAATCTGAAACTTTTGTTTCACACCAAAAGTAACCTGCTCTGTCTTGTCTGTGGGCGCATTGTCAGTGTCCTCTTTGCTCCGCAATGTATTTTTCACTGCACGAGAACATGTGTGGCGTGAGAGCACCAGGCTTGTTGTCGGACGTAACAACAGTTACTAAGGGGGGGTCTTTGCGAAGGGTCAATATAAATCACATAGATGCTTGTTAAGATGTTCATGTGCCATCAAACAAGTCATTTTTTTAATAAAATGCTTTGTTGTCAAGTAAAGTAAAACGGTAATGACTACTGTATTACCATGAAAATACATCAAGAACTTAACATCTTAACAAAAAATCTAATTGATCTAATAAATTGAAAACAAATCTAGTAAATGTAAAGCACAATTCTAATAAATTGAAATAAAGTAACATAAAGCTTTTATA